TTCTCTCTGTCTCTTTCTCTGTATCTCTGTTCCTGTCTGTCTCTTTCTCTCTGTCTCTCCCTTCCCTTTCTCTCTGTCTCTGTGACTCTGTCCCTCTCTCCCTCTTTCTCTCTGTCTCTCTCTTCCCTCTCCTCTGTCTCTCTTTCCCTCTGTCTCTGTCCCTCTCTGTCTCTTTCTCTCTGTCTCTCCCTTCTGTCTCTCATCTCTGTCTCTCTCATTCTGTCTGTCTCTGTCTCTCTCAAGCATTTGGAACGTCTCTTACCTCCGTGTGCACAGAACCAGTCTTTTCTCAGCTGTCCATCCTCGCGCTGGCCCATGATAGCACCCTGGGGGTTGGGGTGGCAGGCCCTGTATCGCGCTCCCTCCGAGTCCTTGCGTCTGGTCTGACCAGTTCTCCAGTCTCTCCCTTGCTCTTCTCCCTGCGCCTGTCCCGGCCGTCCCCCCTTTGTCCACGTTGCTTTTCATAAGCAAGCACACATTGCGCGCCTACTGTGTGTCGGGCCAGGAAGTCAGCTGCGGACAGGGAATGCGCTGTAGAAACTGAGTGTGAAGTCGGAGCTCTTAGTGTCTGAAGGAAAGGCTGTGCTCACAGCCACAAGTTCGCCATCTAAGTGGGGAAATACTGCATTCTGCCTCCTTTCTGATTCTCCTTTGTGCTGACTCAGGAAGGTGTTCCCATAACTATCCAAGTGTTCATTCAAAACCAACCATCAGAAACCTACACCTCCCACTCATGTGACACCTCCGGGCTCCGTTCTGCCCTCTGACAAGCCGTGTGACATTGAGTGTGGGACTTCCTTCTTGGGCTCCAATTTTGCCAGCTGAGGAGCTGAGGGGGGGGATGGGGGCTGGGCTTGGAGAGCCAGGAGGACCCTCCTCATCTGTCAGTTCTCCTTGGGGGAGACTCAAGGGTGTGTGACACAGGATGTCCCCATTGTCACAGGCAGGGAACAGGCAGGAAACAGGCTCAATGGTGGAAACGTCTGGTGCAGAGGGTCGACTTGGACTCAATTCAGACATTATCTGCTGAGCATCTGCTGCGTATGGTGCTGCCTTCCCCACGAGAGAAGAACGCAGCAAAGTAGACACTGCTTGGGCTGAATCCGAGTCTGAGCTCCAGCTTGCCGAGTGGTGTTTCTCTGACAGGGGCGCCACACTGAGACTGGACCATATGGGACCCAGGGATCTAGTCAGGCTACTGAGACTGGGCCACGTGGGGCTCAGGCTCTAGTTGGGTTACGGTCAGAAGCCCAGGCAGCTGCAGTTCAGCAGGGAGGAAGGTCCCTTCACCTCTCTGTCCCTCAATAGAAACATCTATTGAGCACGTACTGTATTCCAGGCACTGTATTTAGACTCATTTAATTCTCACCACACCCCCATGAGCTAGTTGCTGTTATTATCCCTCTTTACACACGAGCAGCCAGAGCACAGAGAGGCGAAGTGGCCTTCCCAAGGTCACTCGACCAGTACATGACGGATGGGGGTTGGAATACGAGTGGCTCCTAAGCACCCCCTTCCTCCCCACGCCCTACCTTCTCTGCACATAGCAGACATGATACCACGGTTACTGCTGCCTGTCTCACCCTCCCCTCCCTTCAACTGTTCAATTTGACCAAAGTCTCCCAAGCAGCCCCACCCCACCCTGGCTCTGTGCTTGGGTGCTGGGGACACAGAGACAAGTGAGGCAAATGGAAGACACATGCAAACAATCAAGTAATGATGTAATGTGGCCAGGAGGTAGCATAGAGGGAGATGTGAGGAGCACAGCCAGGGACGCACAAGCAGGTCCGAGGTTACATAAGAGCTTGCCTTACGGACCGGAGTGGGAGGCGGGGGTGGCGAGGCATCCCGGGTGGGAAGCATGGCCCCAACAAAGGCGGCTGGGGGGCTGGAACCAGCAGCGTCACTAGGGAGGTGTGGGGGTGTGGACTGTAGCAGGTGACAGTGTCAGAGGGGGTGACACCAAAAGGACTGTCTACAAAGTTTTTGTGCAGTGTTTCAACAGAAATTTATTATTTTTTATAGAAATATCCCCGTAGTTAGTTAGAACAACAAGAACATTTTTGTAAGTCCAGCTTACAGGTATCAACATACCTACAAGGCTAAAATTCTATGCCAATTTACTTTTTAAACCTTCTGATGCACTCCGGTCAGAGCTATCATGACTGCCCAATCGCAATGACACTTCGAATCGCGTGGTTTCATCTGCACGCGGTACAAGCGTGCACTGTTTTTTTCGTTGCTGCCAGTATTTTTATAGTCACCGATTTTGTCAGATTTTCTGGTGTTTTAGCTACAATATTGTGGTAATTAGTATTTGCGAACCTATATCAATAACTTTTTTGAGAATGGAGTAGTAGTTAAAGGAAAAGGAGAAAAATCAAAACAGGCTTTTTCTCAGTGACTAATAATGTTATAATTTAATGGAGAAATATTTCACAAAAAATTTTGTTGTTAGTATTCATAAAATCTAAGAAATAATACATTTAAGCAATTTACAACTATATCACATATTATTCTATGATAAAACTGATAATAAACATTACTAAGGATTCTGTACGGTCTGGTACAGGAGGAAGTCCATGGGGGGGGGGCGTTACACCAACCCTAATGGTGCCACTGGCTGGAACCACGTGGTGGGTGCAGCTTGGTGGTTCTGTAGCATCGGGGCGTGGCTGGAGAAGCTGCTGGATCAGTGGGCGGACTGTAATCAGTGCCTCTCCAGGAGAAGAGCTATGAGTCTCGCGCTGCTTCATTTCCAAATTGTCGCCCTGGATCCTCCAAACACCCACGTTCCAGCCATTGTAAGCTCTTCCTTGGGCTTCACTGAGCTGCCTCTTCCTTGAGCACAGATCCAGTGAGTTATCCCTCTGCTCATTGACCTCCGATGACTCCCAGAACCCCACTCTGGCCAGGCGCCGCCGCCCTTCAGCTCTGACCACCTTCCCAGCTGCTCATCCCCGGCTCTCTCGACACTCTGCCTTTGCTCAGGTTGTTCTCTCCAGCAGGAGGGGCCTCCCTCATTCCTCCCTGCCCAGACCCCCTGCTTT